GAAGGAGCACGGACACCTGTACCCTGAGAGGTGAGACCCCTTCAAGGCCAGGTGCTTTCCGGCAACTCCCAGCCCACACTGACAACCAGGAGGCGTGGGCACAGTGCCACACCGACCGACCACGGTGTCGGCTCAGCCAGCTCCAACGCTGGGGCCTTCGCGTGGGGGGGCGACGGTGGTGCGTGGCCTGGGCCCCCACTTGCTTCCCGCCCGCAAGTGTCTGTGCTGAGGCTGGAGCTTAGGCATCTGGGGCAGATGGACCCTGCTGTGGGGAGGCTGGCCCCCTGCCCGGGCCCGGCTCTCGGACATGGCCAGCCCGGTGGGAGGCTCCTGACTTGAGGGTGTGGGCTCCTTCGGCAGTTGCTCTGGGACACCCTCCGGCTGCCTGAGTGGGTGCGAGGTGGGAAGGCGTGTGGCTCTGTGCGGTTGTCCCCATAGGAGATGTGACGGTATAGGGAGGGCTTCCTGGAGGAGGCTGTCTCCACACAGCTCTGGTAGGAAGGGGGGCCTCCGTCAGGGCAGCACCCGGTGTGTTTCGTGGGCCCTGACTCCCCTGCGAGCCCCTCCCCCGCTGCGGGTGAGCTCTGAGGGCAGCTCAGGGAGCCGCTGGGGGCACCCTCTCCTGAATCCTTGCTGTGGTGCTGCCTTGTCTCCGTGTGCGTGGGCTTGGGCCGTGTGACAGAGGACCCCAGCCCACAGCATAGCGCAGGGCGTGTCGTCTCCCAGTGCTGGGCGGGGGGCATCAGAGACCCAGACCTGGACGGGGTTGGCTGCTCCCTGTGTCCTCAAGTGCTCGCTCCAAGTGCGCGTCTGTGTCTTCTCCTCGTGGCTACAAGGGCGTCAGGGACGCTTAGGCCCATTTTACCCAAACGTCTTGTTGTCCAGTCGAAACATTCCTCTCTAAGCATAGTCTTTCTCTGAGGGTTCCGGCTTGGGAGGGTCTGGGGAAGGCCGCTCCCCAGCGCTCCCGTGGTCCTGGATCAGCTCTGGGGCTCCCTGGTCTCCCCGAGCCTCCCAGAGCACCAAGCAGGGTTCCTGGCCCACGTGGGCTCCTCCAGCCACACCTCCTCCGTCCAGTGTCTGCAGCCCGCCCTGGGGCCCCCCAGGAACAGCCCGTGGCCAGTGAGCGTCTGGGCAGCAGGCCCGACGTGGGGCTCCCTGGGGCAACAGTTGGTCTCACACCCTTGGTAGTAAACCGACCGCCTTTTGTGGCCCAGCCCAGGGCTTCCTTCCGTCGACAGCACCCTCACAGGGCCCTGCTGACCTTGGTAGAGGGAGGAGTCTGCCTGTATCCCCTGGTGCCCCCGTGCCCCAGGCAGCATGTGGAGGTAAGCCCAGGCGGGAGTCTCAGGTCCCGGAGAGCTCCCCGCCTGCCTCCGGCGCTGCTTCTGCCTGGGGCCCGGGGCTGATGGCTCAGGGGTGCTCAGGACAGCAGGGAGGATGTGCGGAAGGTTCTAGGTAATTCTAGATGGCAGAGTGATCTGACGTTGGGGTTGCAGTGCTGGGGAGTGGGGGCCAGAAAAGGGAGGGAGGTGGGCTGCTGGGCAGTGATCCCAGGCCGAGGTCTCCGCTCCCCACGTTGCTGTTGGAGCTCCTGGGCCCTTGGCCGCGTCTGGGTCTCCAGGTCCTGCCAGGCCCAGCCTCGACCTTTCTTAGGCTGGCCCGACCAGGAGTCATGGGACATCTCTTCTGAGAGGAGAGGAGACTGGGGTCTTGTCTTAGGGGCAGTAATGGGCTGCAGAGTCGTGGCTGGGGGAGTGGGGTTTGGTCCTTGGATGAGCAGCTGGTGGGCGGAGGGGCCGTGCTGGTGGGACGCAGAGGCCTGAAGTCTCGTGGACCCTGTCCCCAACTGTGATGTGTCTGAGCCTCGGGGTGTCCCCTCCCTAGGCTGACACCACGGGCTGAGGGCAACTGTTACATCAGAGGGTGGGCGCCCCCGTGGGGCCCGTGGCCACCCTGCACGTGTCACCCAGGGGCCCCTCCTGGCCATGTGCTCTGTGCCACTCACTGCTCTTGCCGAGCGCGATGTCTACATGGCTGGTCAGCAGCCACCCTGGCCCCGTCCGGCTTCTCAGCACTGCCTGGTCTCCTTCCTGGAGGAAGGTCAGCCTCAACTTGCTCACGGAGACGTTGATCGCAGGCGGAAGGGCCGGGCAGCCGTGACTCCTCTGCGGCCAGGGTGTCTAAGCGGACATGTGGAGAGGGACCGTGTGAATGGGTGTCTCCTGGGGCTTGGTGACCCTCCTGGCCTGAGGCAGCTGGGTGGTGTTTGGAGCCAGAGCCCGGTGTCCCCTCCCGCCATCAGGATTCTGTGGGTCAGACAGCATCCCTCTCACTGTCGCAGTGCTCATCGTGGCTGGGATTGATAGGGGTGTGTGGGGGGGACAGCCTGAGGGGGGCAGGGGCAGGGGCCCCATGCTGGCCAGTCCCCTGCATGGGGTGCTGGGGGAGAGTTTGGAGTGGACACACCCCTGCCCTGGTGGCGGTCAGGCCGTGGCTGTGCTGGGCAGGGGCTCTGAGAGGGACCCGGCCTCTGGTGCAGCCTCCCTCCCTGCCTTTGTTCTCCCCATTCCTGACATGCCGCCTTCTCCCACCTCGGCCTTGGCTCCAAGTCTTCTCTGAGGACCCCCCCCCCCCAGGGAAGGTGGCGTCCCCTGGACTAGCCCCAGTGGTCCTCCCCTGACTCCGGGGCCACCCGCTGACTTCTGGCACAGCAGACAGCCCCACACACGAGGCCAGGCGTCTGGAATTCCGGGGTGAGCCCCTCCGTTCTGTTGACTGATGCCCGGAAGCCCACCCCAGAGCACCCTCTGTCCCAGAGCTGCGCCCTGTTCCAGGCATGAGCCCTGCCAGGCCCCACTGGGAGCGGGGTGGGCAGGAAGCCTCGGTCGGGGGAGTCTTGGATTAGAGCTCAGGGAGGAAGGGTCCCCACAGTCTGCCCCCCACTGAGTCCCAGCCGGTGCCCGAGGGTGGGAATCTTTGCCCTGTGCCCACCAGGCCTTCCTCTGGGCAGGGAGGGGGCCATCGGGAGGGTCCTTCCTCCCGACATCCCCTTCACGGATGGTCACAGGGCTCCCCACGCCTGCCGCGTGGCCCCAGAAGCCCTTGGGACAGCGGGAGGAGCCCCATGGTAAGGCTCCGTACCCGCTCCGGTCTTCTCAGGGGCCGGCGGCAGGTCTAGGCAGGGCAGCTGGAGCACGGTGTTAGCGGGGGCCCGGGACCCCATCCACGCCCCTTCTCCTCTGCTGGGAGATCTTGCAGAGTCTGGCTGGGAAGTCTGGGGCTCGAGGCAGCAGGCGTGTTTCCTGCACGTCTGAAATACGGCCTGCTGGCTGGTGGGAACAAGGGATGTTTTAATTCCTAATTTAGACTGTTTATCTGCAGAGTTCTGGAGGCTGGGCCCGGGAAGAGACGGTGCCCCCCCCCCCAGGGCGCCTCCCGCCTTCAGCACGCTCCAGCTGCCTGGTGGGCACGGGAGGGGGGACCTCGCCTCGAGATCCGGCCCCCTGCCCCCATGGGTCTCCATGGTCAGCCCCACGCCACCTGCTCCCCAAGAGGGGAGACCCCTCTGCACACTCTCCAGCCTTTTCAGGTCCCGTGGCTGTGGCCAGCAGTCAAGGAGCAGGGTGGGGGTGGGGGGCGGGCTCGTGGGACCAGGGAGTTCTGAGAAATCTGGCAGCCGGGCTGGACTGTTCCGCGGCCTCTGGTCACTCTGGTCAGCTGGGAGTTTTACCGTAAAAGAGGGATTTGGGGAGGGAGGGGTAGGGACCAGGTGGTTGAAAGCATCTCAGCCACTCCCCCGAGCCGAGCTCCCCCGAGTCACCGGAGGTTGCCCTGGGATCAATGTCGTCTCTCCGACTTTAGGAAATCCATGTGTCTCTGCCTGTGGCCGGCTGGCTTCCTGGTAACCTTTCTGGCGCCCCCTCCCAGCACCTGCTCTGCAGGGGTGCTCAGCGGGGGTGGGGTGAACACCTCGATCCCTGCTCCCTGTGTGGGCCTGCCCCTCCACTCCTTGCCTTCGAGACATCCCCGTCCTAGCTCCCAACCGGAGGGCTCGGGGCTCGGGGCTCCCTCACAGTACACGTGTGGTCCCTCTGGGCTGGGAAGCTGCGTCTTGGGGCAGGGGAGACTGGCCCAGGGTCCTGCGGCTCTTGGAGACCACGCCCTGGGGCCCCCAGGCTGGGCCAGCTAGGGGACATCCCCAAACCTACTCTGCCCCTCCACCCCTGCACTGGCGCTCCCCACCCTCATCACCCTGATCCAGCCCTGACTGCCCTGTTCTGGTCCCACCCCAAGCCTGCGTCACTGTGTGCCCGCCCCACCCGCACTGGCGCACGACCCCCCATTCTCCAACAGTGTGCTGTGGGGTCCGCACGTTACCCTACTGGGCAGCCCCACTTCTTGGGGGTGGCGCCTCTGGAAGTTGGGGGCCTGCAGCTGTGTGGGGCATTCCAGGGGGGCAACAGGGGGGTACGAAGGCCAGGCCAGAACCGGGGTGGGGCCTTGGTGACACCCTGTCCCTGGGAAATCCGGCCAGGCTGTGTGGGGCCAGCCTCGGGCTGCCTGAGGTTCCCCCGACCCCATGGCCGCCGTCCCGAGGTCCAGCCTGCCCGAGCCTCCGTCCAGCCTGCCCGAGCCTCCGCCCACCCATGGAGCCATGTTGTAGACCCACATCCTCCGGAGCCTCCCCTTCACAGAAGCTTCCGGATACGTGCAGGAGAGCTGGGGGTGTCGAAGGCTCCTCCGGAACGTGCCTTCTGTGTCTGACGGGAACAGCCCTCACATTCCCCCTGGAGCTCTGTGTCCCCGGGTTCCGCCTGCTCCCCCCCAGACCCCACCACTAAGAGGGCCGGGCCCCCCTCCCCCCGGGCAGCACACCCCACGATGGGCAGAGGGAACCCCAAGATGTGGGCACAGCAGGCAACCACATGCCCGTGCTCCTCTGAGCCCGGGGATTCCCTAATTGCGGGATTTGTCATGAAAGCGCCGGCTTCCGACAGCCAGGAGATGTGCCGTCCTCTGCCTGCAGCGGGCGCTCCCCCCGGCCATCCGCAGCCCCAGCCCCATGGAGCCTGGGCAGATGCGGGAGGGCAAGTCTTGCACCGCGTTGGGGGCGTGGGGACCCCTCGGTGTGGCTGGAAGGGCCCAGAGGTGCCTGTGTCCTGGTGGGTGTTGGCGGCGAATTGTGGCCTGGTGGTTCCAGAGACCAGTCGGGACTCTGGGTGCGGGGACTGCGTACCATCGGGGCGTCCCTGGGCAATGGGGGATGTCCTTCAGGGCACGGGAGCCTCTGGCTCAGGGTGACTTGGTCTGGGGTGCTGCAGCGTGCTTGTTGGTGGCCTGCGAGCCCCATGTGCGGCGTCCTTTGCACCGGGAGTGCCCAGGCCGCGGGGGACAGCGGACGGACGGCCCCGGGAGCGCGTCTTGCCGTTCGCCTCACTAGAACTGGAGGACAGCGGGCCTGGCCATCCTCGGGTGGTAATGAACCCGCTCCGTGTCCGCCTTTCTTCTGTGGCAACACGGAGGCTGAGTGAGGAGGGGCCCATTCACGGTTCGGCGAGTCCCACCGGCCCGCTCCTGCATACGGACCGGGCCCCTTCCTGCTGCTGTGAGGTCAGGTCAGGAATCTGTGGGGAGGCTCCCTGTCTGCCTCGCCTTCCCACGTGGCATCTTGTGGGGTGGATGTGGCTCCCCGTTGTCTGAGGGAAGGGGATCCGCGGTCCCTGAGAACACACACACAGAGTTCCCAGGGGCCTGACTGCCCGCCCTGGACCGGGCACTGGGAGCCGTGGGTCTGTGTGGGTCACTCTGGGCTCCACAATCCCCTCCTTCCTTTTGACCCCATTTCTTTTTGGGGACTGGACCCCAGGACAGGGGAATAGCACTCGTGGGCAGCTGGATGGAATTTTGCTCACAGACGCTCGCAGATCTCTCCGCTGGTGGGCAGCCCGACCCCCAGCCAGGCTGACCTCGGGGCAGCGGGACGGGGGAGAAGCCATGCCTCGGCCAAACCGGAGGTGGGAAGGATGGGGCCGTGAGCTCTGGATGGGGTTGCTGCTCTGCCCAGGCCCCTGGGGTCCAGCGGTGCTCGTGACCCCCACCCCTCGGGGCACGCGGTGCCGCCTGACCAGCAGGGGGGGGGACAACAGCAAGCATGGGCAGCCCGTTGCCCTAGGGAGGGGAGAGGCGCCCCATTGTTGGTTTAAAAAAAATGGCTCAGATGATTCACAGAAGCTTCCCCTTTCCTGCCGGTTTCCAGGAAGTCTACTCCAACATAATGGATCGAGTTATTAGGGGATCAGCTCGGACTTGGGCGGCTGGAGGGGAGCCAGGCCAGGCCGACCGGCACGTCACATGGCTGCGAGACTCCCCAGGGCCCCCCTGCGGTTGGGGCTGGTGGGCCGGTGGGCTGGGCTGGGGCCCAGGGCACCAGAGGTGCGGGTGCACCCTTCCAAGGAGGCTTTCCTAGGGGCATGATTCCTGGAAGGTGAGGCCCTACTGTGTGCAGAAGCCTGTATCTGCAGCCCCGGCTGGGCTGAGGCCCTACTGTGTGTATGATCCACTGCTATCTTGGTGTGCACAGAGGCCTGAGCCCAAGCCGCATGTGACCTGAGGGCCTACTGTGCACACAGGTGCACCTACTAAGCGAAGCCTGCAGTGCGCAGGGTTTTCCTGAGGCTCCGTTCTGCCTTGAGGGTTGAACAGGGTGTGCTCTGAGAGGCCCAGGAGTATCCCTCACCCCCAGGAGGCCCCAGGTGTGGGGCAGGTGGTCCCAAGGACCCTGTCCTGTCCAGTGTTGCGCAGGGGTGAGGAGTGGGCTTGTCTCGTGAACTCAGGGCACAGCCCCATCACTGGCCCTGGCTCTGCCCCCCCGGAGGTCGTCCTGTCCCTGCTGCTGTGCCCCCTGCTCCCGCTGCCCGGCCTTCGCCCAGGCCAGAGGCTCCTCCATCCCCTCACTTAGGCCTTGAGCGATTCTCGCCGCACTAACATCCTTGCCGGACACCTCACCTGCTCCTTACCGTCCTCTGGCTGGCTCCCTGAAGGCGGGCCCTCTCGTGCTTACTCCGTCCAGGGACCTGGAGCAGGCCCGACGCACTGTAGGTGCTCAGTGAGGGAGGTCGAGGCGCTCTCTGTGGCTTCTGAAACAAGCATAGAGCGCTCCCAGACAGAAGGCACACGGTGCACTGCAGGTGGCCGGCGCATTGGGATGAACCCCGGCCTGTCTGAGCAGGTACCCACACCTGTGTCAGCAGCCGCTGGGCCCCCATCTCCCACCAGCTCCTCCCTCCCTCTCCACCCTGACAGCCTGGGCTCTGCCTCAGGGTCCTCTGTCTGCCCGTGGCCTGGGGCTGCCGTTGCCTCAGGGACATCCTGGCGGCCGTTTAGGGGGTGGTGCCCGGTCCAGACCACTGGGTTCTGGGGGGTGCCTGTCCCCACAGGGTTGGTGGCCAGCCACCCTGCTGTCAGGCAGCATGGGGAGCCTGCCCCTGGGCAGAGCCCAGAGCCAGACCACTGGGTCCATGGCCCCAGTGTGGGGGAGGGAGGAGCTCTTCCTACCACGCCCGACCGGCAGGACCGGGCTGCTGCTGGAGCGGCACCCCCTCGGGTCAGACCGGGCCGAGCCTGTGTCTGGGAGGTGTTCACAGAAAGCTTGGGGACTGAAGTGTGCCCACCGTCCATCTGGGCAGCAGGCCACCACCAATTTCTGGAGCTCAGTGGGGACGGGGCATCAGGGCCACACCTGCCCCCAGGGGTGCACCGGCCCCTGTCTTTGCTCACAGCTTCTGTGACAGACACCACGGAGTGCGTGTGTTCCTGCCAGGGCTGGAGGCTGGCGAGGCCGAGGTCCGGGCATGGCCGGGTCCTCCTGGGCATCCCCTCAGCTCTTGTGAGGACGCCAGTCGGAGGGGACGGGGCCCACCCTACTGACCTCAGTTTACCTAAATCACTTCAAGACCCGTTTCCAAACGCAGGCATGTTCTGAGGTCCTGGGGGTTAGGGCTCCTGTGGGGGAATCTGGGGAATCACAGTTCAGCCCGTGGCAGCGGGGGCTGGGGGTCAGGGCTGGGAGGGAGCGCCCCATTGCTGGTGGCTGAGGCAGGGAAGGGGCCTGTGGTCCGGGTGCAGGGGGCCGGAATCCCCTTAGGCCTGGCACTGCGGACTCTGTGCCTGGACCCCAGGATTCCTCACAGGAGCGAGTCCTGTCCCCGCCTCTGCTCGGGCCGGGAGGGGCCTCTCATACTGTAGGTGCACGCGGGGGACCCGGAGCCACGGTCCGATCTCTGCCGCGGTCAGAGGGACGGCGTCAGCCCTGAGCTGTGGGCAGGCGCTCCAAGGATGCTGGCAGGGGCGGCCCTGTGTAAATGTCAGGGCCAGGGGTCGGGCCGGGCTCGGCGGGGGCCCCGGGGGCCCTGGAGGCACCGTGGACAGCAGCACTGGGTGCTGAGTTCAGTCCTGCTGCTTTCAAGTTGAAACCCACCGACGGAGGTTCTGGGCGGTCCTTTTCAAATGTCACCGCTATTAATAACCTGGGGGCGGGGCCAGAGGGCCTCTGGGGTCCCCCATCGGGCTGGGCCCGGCCGGGGAAGGCAGCTCCCTGTGGGGTGTGGGGGGGCTGCCCAGGCCTTCTCGAGGGGCTGGTCTCAGCAGCATGGGTGGGGGTCTGCTCGGGGGCAGTGTGCTCTCCAAGGGCCGGGAGAGGTGCCCAGCGGGCCTTGAACTTGCCGCAGGAGCAGGAGCTTGCTTCTCCTGGGCCTTCTGGTGTCCGTGTGTAAAATGGGGGCCGTCGGAACCCGTGGGCTCCGGAGCCTTTCCAGGGGATCCAGCTGCCTCACAGGCGGGTCTGGACTGCGTGTGGGTGTGGACGGCCAGCACCCTCGCAGGGAGGAAGAGCAGAGCTGGGGTGTTTGGGGGTCTGTGCGGGACACCTGCGGCTCTCAGTGAGGGGCTCCCTGGCCTCTGCTGCCGCCTCCTCCAGCCCCAGTCCCAGCGCAGGCATCTGAAAGCCCCGTGTTCCCATCTACCACCAGCGCCCCCACCCCGACTGTCCCTGGCTGTCACTTTTCAGAGTGGAAGGCAGCCTAGCTGCATCTCTGCTCAGGGTGGGGGCAGGGCGTCCCGCTCTAGTTGTGGCTCCTGCGGTCAGCCTGAGCCTCCGTCCTGCTTGGGGCGGATTCCCACAGTGCGGGGGACACAGTGCTGGTGGGGCCCGCAGGACCACAGCCCCTGTGCCTGGTGTCTGTTGGGCATTGATCCCTTGGGAGCCAGTGAGGGCTGGAGCTGCTCTGGGGGGCCCCTGGTGCCCGGTACTTATCTGGAAGTTTCTAGATGCTGCTCCCTCTGCCGGCGGTGAGGCCTCCACCCACCCAGCCTTGGGTTCTGTTGAAGCGTCCTCCTCGGGCCGGGACCCCGCCCAGCAGCTCTCAGCCTGCAGGAGGGCAGGCCCCATCCGGTGGGGTGGCTTTTGCCTCAGGGGCCTGGTGGGACGGCAGTGCCGGGTGGTGGTGGGTGAATCTCGGAGCAGGCAGCCGACTGTGGAGGGCGCGTGGCCCCCGAGGTTGGCAGGCTACTTTGACCAGCCAGAGTGGTCCGAGCACCCTGCCCTCGAGGCCTCCAGGTGGCCCTCCTGTGCCCGGGGCAGGGGCTGCATTTCTTCCCAGCACCCTGGGGATTCTTACCCACCAGAAAGTTTAGGAAGGAGCCCTGTGGGCGTGTGTCGTGTGGGTGGGTGGGGCTTGGACTCTGGCGTCCCCAACCTTAGCTGGGAGGTTTGGGGGCCCCCCTCCCAGCGGGAGGCTTGCGCTGCGGTGCCCTGGTGGGCCATGTGAGAGCAGGTGGACAGGCATGGCCAGAAGGCCTGTCCCCTCAGTACCTAGGTGCCAGGCGACGCTTGGGAGGCTGGGATTTCCCGGGGTGGTGGGGGGGCGGCTGGTGTTGGGGGCAGGTGTGGGAACAGCCCTGCTGCAGGGCCCCTTTGCCTACCTGTGGGGTGAGCCAGGCTCCCACGT